TAGTTGGCACAGTAGTAACGGATTAAGATTATGAGCAATCAGAACATAAAAACGGCCATACTGGGTCAGACCAATGGTCCATCTAGCCCAGTATCCTGTGACAGGGGACAATTCCCTGTGCTTCAGAGGGACTGAACAGAACAGGTAATCATCAAATGATCCATCCCCTGTCGCCCATTCCCAGCTTCTGGCAAACAGAGGCTAGGGACACTACAGAGCATGGTTTTGCATCCCTGCTCATCCTGACTAATAGCCATTCATTAGTTTATCTAGTTCTTTTTTAAACCCTGTTATAGTCTTGGCCTTCACAACATCCTCTGGCAAGGAATTCCACAGGTTGACTGTGCGTTGTGTGAAGAAATACTTCCTTTTGTTTGTTTTAAACCTGCTGCCTATTAATTTTATTTGGTGACCCCTAGTTCTTGTGTTATGAGAAGGCTTAAATAACACTTCCTTATTTACTTTCTCCACATCAGTCATGATTTTATAGACCTCTATCATATCCCCCCTTAGTCGTCTCTTTTCCAAGCTGAAAAGTCCCAGTCTTATTAATCTCTCCATATATGGAAGTCGTTCCATACCCCTAATCATTTTTGTTGCCCTTTTTTGTACCTTTTCCATTTCCAATATATCTTTTTTGAGATGGGGCAAATCCATCTGCACACAGTATGCAAGATACGGATGTACTATGGATTTATATAGAGGCAATATGATATTCATTCTGTTAATGTTGCATTTGTTTAGTCACTATTCAGTGTCCAGCACAACAGATCCTTGTCCATGGCTAAGACAAATAAATAATCACAATGATGATGCAGAATAGACCCAAGCTCATCCCTCCTGTACCTGGGCTGGCTCTGCAGAGTTAAGAGGAGCAAAATGCAACAAATCCTCCCCCTTCTCATTTTTGTCACTACAGTCACAGCTCTGATTCCAATACATACACACACACACAGCAGGCCAGCTAAGGAGAGGCCATTTTTAGACAGTCATGTTTCAGAACAAAAGCACGTCATGGTACTGAAGTGACATCTTCCAGAGGCCCCAGCATGTGCCGGGCAGCTTAGTCTAAGCAGGGCAGCCCATAGCTCATGAGCATACACCCCTCCCTACTTGACCACACTCCCAGCATACATAGGGTTGCCAGACGTCCGTTTTTTGACCGGAACACCCAGTCGAAAAGGGACCCTGGCAGCTACAGTCAGCACCGCCAACCGGGCTGTTGAAAGTCCAGTTGGCAGTCCTGCAGGTCTAAAGCAGGCTAGTCCCTACATGTCCTGGCACTGCGCTGTGCCCCAGAAGTGACCAGCAGGTCCGGCTCCTAGGCAGGGGGGCTCCGTGGCTCCGTGCGCTGCCCCCACCCCGAGCACCAGCTCCACACTCCAATTGGTCAGGAACTACGGCCAACAGGAGCTGGTGGGGCAGTGCCTGCATGTGAGAGCAGCACACAGAGAGTCCTGGCCCCCCGCCTAAGAACTGGACCTGCTGCTGGCCACTTCCTGGGTGCAGCGCAGAGCAAGGACAGGCAGGCAGCCTGCCTTAGCCCCACTGCGCCACTGACTGGGAGCCGCCTGTGGTAAGCCTGTGCCCCAACCCCAAGCTCCTGCCCCAGCCCCGAGCACCACCCACAAACCCAGAACCCCCTCCTGCACCCCAAACCCCTCATCCCTGGCCCCACCCCAGAGCCTGTACCGCCAGCTGAAGCCCTCACGCACTCTGCACCCCAACCCCTTGCCTCAAGATGCAGACCCCTCCCACATGCTGAATCCCTCAGCCCCACTCCCCAGCCTGGAGCCCCCTCCTACACCCCAAACCCTCATCCCCAGCCCCACCCCAGCCAGAACCCTCACTCCCTCCTGCACCCCAACTCCCTGCCGCAGCCTGGAGCCCCCTCCCACAACCTAAACCCATAATTTCTGGCCCCACCCTGGAGCCTGCACCCCCAATTAGAGCCCTCACTCCCTCCTGCACCCCAACCCCCTGCCGCAGCTCAGTGAAAGTGAGTGTGTGGGGGGGTAAGAGCGAGCCACCAAGGGAGGGGGAATGTAGTGGGGGGGCAGGGTCTCAGGGAAGGGGCAGGGCTAGGGTGTGTGGTTTTGTGTGATTAGAAAATTGGCAACCCTAAGCATACACAGCTCCCTGGCCCTCAAACTGCACTCCCAGCATGCACTGTTCCCCCCTCAGTTGCTGTCCCACCATACACTGCTCCACCTCTTAGCCATGTTCCCAGCATGCACTGCCCCAATTCAGGGTGCAGTCCCAGCATGCACTGCTCTCCCATCCAGGCTGCATTGCATCCCCTGCCGCCACTGCTGTCCCAGCATGCACCGTGACCCCTTAGCCACACTCCCACCCTGCATCCCCCCCTCCCAACATGCCCTGCTCCTAGGGTGACCAGATGACAGAGGTCAAATATGGGGGGGCGGGGGGACAGAGAAAAAAAAACAAAAAACAAGCGGGCGGCGGAGCAAAACAAAAAAAACTGCTAGAGCACAGGAAAAACGGAGAACCCACCGGCAGCTCCACGCCCCGCCCCCCACCAGCTTGCCTCCACTCCGTCTCCACCTCCCACCTCGGGGAGGGAAGGGGCAGCACGCAGAGACCCCCCCCCGCCACAGGGACCTGTCAGGGGGCCAGGTGAGTCCCAGGCAGTGCCACTTTGCCTTGAATGGTCCTTTTTAAATATGTGTTAACTACTTATGCTAAATAATCTGTTCCATCTTGTATTTATCTCTGACAACTGATCTATACTACAGAGTTAATTGGATGTAAGGCAGCTTATTTTGACCTAACTCTGTAAGCACCTACACTGAAATGTAGCTACCTCCCATGTAACTTGACCACTACACCAACTTAACTCCACCTTCACGAGAGGCATAGTGCTTAGGTCAACGTAGGCCGTGGCTACACTCGAAACTCTAAAGCGCTGCTTCAGGAGCGCTCCTGTGGCAGCGCTTTGAAGTGTGAGTATGGTCGCGCGCCAACACTGGGAGAGAGCTCTCCCAGCGCTGCAGGTATTCCACCTCCACGAGGGGATTAGCTTACAGCGCTGGGAACGTGGCTCCCAGCGCTGGGGCACTGTTTACACTGGCGCTTTACAGCACTGTAACTTGGTGCGCTCAGGGAGGTGTTCTTTCACACCCCTGAGCGAGAAAGTTACAGCGCTGTAAAGTGCCAGTTGTAGCGCTGTAAAGTGCAGTTGCAGTTAGGTCGATGCAGTGTCAGTGTAGACACTCTAAGCAGACAGAAGAGAGCTCTCCCATCGGCTTAATACCACCACCTCCATGAGAAGCCCTCTCCTGCCGACTTAGCACTGGATTTTTCACACCCCTGAGCAACGTAGTTATACCAAAGTAAGTGAGTAGTGTAGACCTTGCATAAATTTCCCAGACATGAAGAGCTCTTTGTAAGCTCAAAAGCTTGTCTCTCTCATCAACAGAAGTTGGTCCAATAAAATATATTATCTCACCCACCTTGTCTCTCTAATATCCTGAGACTGACATGGCTACAACAACGCTGCATAAAACAGTTGGAAGTTTTGGCAGATAAGTAAAGGAGCAATTGGTTGGTTTTTTTTGTTTTTTGTTTGTTTGTTTTTTTTTGGTTGTTTTAAAATATAAAATTTAGTTGCATTGTTTGAGTCTGCACATAACATCTGCAATTCATTGAGAATCTAAGCAGCTCATCTTTAACAATTGCAATTTAAGAAAAATAAAATTCACTTTTTTCTTGGGTTGATATCTAGTTACAGCAATGGTTGTGACATCACCAGTATAATTGGTGTTGGAGAACAGGAGATCATGATGTTGTTCTGAAAACTGCTTCTATGATATCATCCAGGGTTTTTGCAACTAGAAATAAACCAAAAACAGCCTCTACTTCAAATAAATAAAATTCAAATTTGGATATCTAAAATTAGGCTTCTGAAACCATATTTAATTAAGTAGCCTGATATTCACAGGTGCTGAGCTCCCTATGATTTAGGTATGAGCTGACTGGGTGCTGCAGATGCTAAGCGCTCTGAAAAGTCATTTCTTTAGGTACTAAATCTAGGCTTTTATATCTTCATTTTAAATGTCCAAGCTTGGAATTTTTGAAAATATCTACAGTAGAACTAATATAAATTAAAAATGTGGAGCTCTTTATGAAGGTTTATTTTATGTCTGCAGCATTAAGATTTGGGGGAGTTAATCTTATTTTAAAAAAATAAGTGAGAGGTACAGGCACAAAGATTTCTATTCCTTCTGTAGCTTTTTTTTTGTATTTCACACTTTTTTATTCATTGTGTATTTCAAACAGCATTTAATCTGTTTTACATAGATTTGTGGTTGAATATTTACTACACCTGATGAAAGATCCTGAGTAGTTCATGAAGTCTGTGTAGAAATAAATGTTTGGCCTTTTCCATTAAGGTAATACAAATAACTCTCTGGCTTAAGTGACCATGGATATCTGCCCTCAGTTACAAGTTAAAACTACTAATCAAATATTTGATTGTAGTTGGCTTATCAAATGATCTACTGTATTTTGTTATCTTTTGTTTTTTGAAGTCATCAGGACAAACATGCATTTCAAAATCATTCATCTAAGACGGTGGTACCAGCAGAATCGTTCTATATTAAAAGAAGTGTTGCTATCTTTTGTTAATTGGGTATTATATGGGATTTAACTTGGCAACAATTAAGTGGCATTTTCTAACTACAGAAAATATAGCAATGTAACTTCCTCTTGGGAGTAGTGGTCATGGAGGTTTTAAAGGCCCGGCTTGACAAAGCCCTGGCTGGGATGATTTAGCTGGGAATTGGTCCTGCTTTGAGCAGGGGGTTGGACTAGATGACCTCTTGAGGTCCCTTCCAACTCTGATATTCTATGATTCTATGATTCTAGCCTTACCTGGAGCGGCTCCCAGGGACCATCCAGCAGGCAGGTCCCGTCCCTCTGGCTGGGTCGGGTCGGGTGGGGCTCGCTGCCGGAACCTACAAGCCCCGCCCCTGCAGCACACAGTGGAGACCTCCTCGCCGTCTCTGTGCGTACCTGGGGAGTGGGGCTGCAGCACTGGGCAGGCAGGCGCTGGGAGTTCAGCTGAGTTGCCTCAGGGGCCAGGAAGAAGAGGTGAGT